GCTTTTGACTTTTGAGATAGCCTATGTATAGCTACATCGTAAAACTTTCCAGATTGTTAGACAAACTTGTATATGTATCAGGTTATTACGTAAAACATCATTCCGTATATATCTATCAATCAATTTCTTCAAGGTTTCTAGGAAAAATGATGTTATGCTGATTAATCTGAAAGATTTAGTCTCCGTGTAAGACGCTTTTCCAGGTTTGAGAATGAATACAACTTTTGCAGACCTCCAGCTTTGCGGAACATATCCAAGGGCTATATTAGCTCGGAACAGTTTACACAGTGGTACTGTGTCCTTTTGTGTCAGGCTTATATCATCAGCTCCTACAGTTTTGCAAGATACCAGTTTGTTTTTGAGGCCCTAGGAACTATTGCCTCAATACTCCTGTTCTCTTGGTCAAGGATGATCTCACATTAAGGGAAGGGTGACTTTATTACTAACTCATCTAAAGTCTCATCTGTGTTTGTGAGATCTCATCGTTGATTTTTCTCAATGCAACCTCAACCTTGCTAATCTTTCTGTAAAGTTTTCTCAGTCTGAAACATTTTAGAAGGCATTCAATGTTGTTACAGAATTTCGTCCAGGACTTTATTAATAATTTAACACTCTCCATCTAGCAGAACTAGACGTTTTCGGACATATGTTTATAGATACTTTTTTTCATATTTTGACCGAATAAATCCGAGCTTAATTTTTCGTGCAATATTAATTAATCATCCTGTGTTATATTTGTGATTGAAAATAACATTATTGTTTGTAGAGTTATCGTAAAATTATTAAAAATGTCAAGGCTCATAAAATAACATCGTTCAAAATAAAACATTATACTTGATAAATTGTCTAAGAATATGGAGACGACTTCTTAAAAGTAGTAATAATAAAAGATTTAAGTATGTATATCAACTGATATCAACTTTTTTTATAAATTATTTAAAGTCAGTCTTGTAAGCAATGCATTATAATATTATTAATGTTATTGTAATACTTGTTTGTTGAAAAAATACTTTTGGAATTAAAAAAATAATAACACAGTTTAGTTTAGAAGTACCTATATTATTATGTATTTAATAAATTCGGAAGTTCCTGTAATAAAGGATCTCGTTGGAATTTGATACATGTGTGAACTGGTTTTCATGAATTAGTTGGCGCGCTGACCAGAAATCCGTTTCCGTTTCTATTTTCAATTGCAATTTATTGCCAATAGGAAGAACATATTTAATTTAAAATCGGTGTGTATTAACTGTAAAAATAAGTCATTCGGCATCTACAAAATCGAAGAATTATATGAAAATCCGGATTATATAAAGTATGGACCGAGGTTTGAATACTAAACCAACAATTTGTAAGATTCCAAAAAAAAAGAAAATAAGAACTTCTAAGGTAAGAGGTTGGCAACTTTGACTATGTAATGTCTTATGCTATAAAATGTAGTTGCTCAACCATTATTAGGTAAATTAGATAACGTAAATCCCTTAAAATAGGAACTAAAAATATACTTTGTCTCTAAAGTGCAAAGTCCGAAGGACGAGTGAAATTTATTTGACAACACGCTGAGTGCATTATTTTATGTGATTATCCATAGAACCGATATCAAAAGTTGTATTCGATAGATAATATGATGAATTAATAAAATATGACAGCTCAAAAATTTGCAGTTACAGTACAAAAGCAATGACAAAATATGGCAAGCTTGCCTTCTAGATTAATGTACTAAGCATGATGCATGATTATCAGTTATTGAGTTCTCGATGTATGATTATCATAGAAATAGTATAGAAAGCCAATTCCATATATCAAAAATAAAACCATAAGGAGAAAATAGTGTGTCGGAGCTCATGCGTACAACTGTGCTGGCTCGAACAGGACCGGTGCAAATTTTTTTATTGATCGATAAAATAGTTAACACGATGTTTCAGTCATACATTTTTAGATATGATTCTATATAAAAACCGATGAAAAAAATTCAAGTAAGGTTAATATGGTTCTGAAATTCCTTATTAAGAAAGATATGGCATAAAATATGAATTAGTTAATTTTCGGCAATCATTAGTGCTATAGTTACGAAATTTTGCTTGTGATCTGACATCTTATTTGATTTAGTGTCATTTGCTACAAGTAAATATAATCTGGGGAGTGCATAATAGGGGGCAGTTGCGTTTCGCCCAGGAATATTATGTTCGATATTTTTTTACATTTTGTCAGCCGAGACTATGAGTCGTTACTTACAATTAGATAGAAAACCTTTCAAGTTACCATTTTCAATACAAATTATCCAAAGATGTCTGCATCTCTCAAGATTCAAACATAAAAATACTACTATATTTACTTGGTACATATTTTATTTTAAGTATGAACCCTTTTAAAAGGGTCTTTCGGTTCCATAATAAAAGTTAGTCGCTGCTTACTAGAAACATTCTGTATAGTCTAAACCAATTTATGGATTGTTTTTGATTAATTTAATACAAAGATTTAAAGTTTTTAGTCGATGATAACATTCAACATCAGCACATTGCAAACCTATTTTATAGTTAATAAGAATAAACTTGTAAATCATTAATTTGGTAGTTATCTCACTTATAATGATTTTTTGTTTATATGACTCTTGATTTCTAAATATAGTTTGGCCTTACAGTACGGCGTTTTGTGTCTAACACGTCTAACACGATTTCTATGATTCTCTTTTTGTTAGAAAAGGAATAGTTCTTTATACATTTAGTCAAGATCTGAAGATGGAATTCATGAAAAAATCATTATCATCTTCATTTTTAAAGTAGGTTTTTTAAAATTTCTTTAAACAAGGATTGAAGAAATGTAAATAATTGTTGTGCCAGCCAAAAAGCGAAGAGGAAGTAACGATTAAAATATCGAGTGACAGAAGAGTTTGTAAGTTCGTTGAGATTTAGTTTATGTTTTAAAATGCCTTGAAACCCGCATTTGAAAGTATACCTTGCCAATTCCGCCAGTGACGTCACAAATGTTAAGTAAAGGTACAATTTAATAGGGTTAATTTTCAGTTTCTATATTTGAAAATATACCCGATGCCAACTCGGCCAGTAATGGCCATAAATGTTAGTTAAAAGTACAATTTAATAAGGTTTATTTTAAAATTCTTTACTTTAAATTATATCCGACTGAAACACGGTCTCTGACGTCATGAGCGTTGTGTAAAGGTATATATTCCAAATAAGGAATATTTCATGTTCCATCGGTTCAAACACAGAAATCCAAAATTCCGTGTTCAAACAAGAAATTTTCGTGTTCCAACAAAGAATTTCATATTCAAACACGGAATTCCGTATACGAACACGGATTTCCGTGTATGAACACGAAAATTCCGTGTTCGAATACGGAATTTTAGATTTCCGTGTTCCAATAAGGAATTCCGTGTTTGAACACATAAATTCCGTGTTCGAACAAGGAATTCCGTGTTCGAACACAGAATTTTATATTCGAGCTGCAGTATTTATTGGTATATGTACGGCACCGTAGAAGCGTAGATGCGCATATTTTGGTATAAGTATATTTTTCATGAGGTGTCATCATTTTTCGAAATATGACGTCATCACGAGTTTTTTAAGTAGCACAACCATTTTTTGATAATACCATTTAACAGAAACACAAGCAACAAAATTCTTAACCGGTCCTCCACTTCTTTACTTTTTTCGAGAGATAACTAATAATTGGATTTAGAAAACACCACCTCACTTTACCCCTCTCTTATCTAGGCTAGAGAGGCAATGAGGGTAAATTTAAAACGCTATACAGGGTGTTATTTTGAATCGATTTAAATGAAATTTGGGCATCAGGGACTAGAACTTAAGACATAAGACTAACCTGGAAATAAAATTAAACGAAAAATATTATTAGGCAGGGGACAAAGAGGGCAAGACTTTTGATACTACTTCCATCTCTTTTTTAAAAAATTGGCAAAAGTAAAAATCTGAGGACATTCAAAGAATCTGTATTTACCCATCCCTTCCAAGGGTCCTCAAGTCACCCAAGAGTAACCTGTAAATACGTTATTTAAATTTATAGTTCGAAAATAAAATTCCGTGTTCGAACAAGGAATTCCGTGTTCAAACACGGAATTTTAAAAATAAAAAAAAAAATAAAAAATGTGGCCCTTCTACGCTGCCGTAAATTTACTATGTACAAATTCATTATTTTTACTTTTTTTTATTAAATGTATTAAATTTTCTCACTTTCTTTTATTTGCCAGAACTCATACAGATAACTTTAAGTACTCTATTTATTCGAAATAGTAGCAAAGCCTGCCAATTTTAATAAATGTGTAAGCGGTTTTTAAGAAATATTAGTTTCATTGTGTTACGACATAAAATATTAAAATTTAATTCAGTATTCATGATTTCACGTTTTGTAAAAGCCACGCCTTCCACCACAATACGTCACCGTGACGTATAGTATCGGCGTAATATATCATACCTTCTTTTTATAGTATCATACACTAATCCATTTATTCATAATCCATATTCATAATTAATAACTCTGATTGTGTTTTATATTAGGCAAACAAAACTGTTGCATCTGCCTCCGTATTAGAAAGAACGAGATGGCTGCTAATTTGAGTGGGGATGGTTTGTGAGAGTTTGTTTATTTGAGGAGCGAGCATGCATTTGAATGAACAAATCAGAATTATTTACGTCTACGATACTTGCTTACACTTTGAAGTTAACAGCGTACGTTAACTCACCTTAACTGGCATTGAGAATGCAAAGCCTTTTGTGCATTTTAGAGCTCTATGTTAAGTCAATAACGAGTTATAACGATAAACAATCCTTGTAACAAAATTCTCCCATACTACCTCATAATAATTTGACAACTACTTGGATATCATCGCGGATGATTGCAATTTGTAAACAAAATTAGTCTAGTAGTTGTTCGTCGTTGGAAATGCTTAATAGTCACGCTGGCGGTACCTAGATATAAGTGAAACTTACTGCAGAACCTTATACTTCAAATAGAAAAAAACATTTTTCATGTCTATTAATTACGTATATATTTAAGTGATAGAACAGAATATTTACAAAAATATTACGAACGAGCCATTACTTAAACATCCTCTTGCTTTCTTACTGCTGATATCTCCAGTAAAAAATGTCTTGAATATCTCCTTCTATTACTTGATGGAATAGTTTTACATTAACCACTTTTGTAAAGCACAAAAGCTGTGCATCCCAGAAAGAAAAAAATAAAATTACTCGACTCGTGGGTGATATATGAAGAAAAGTTCTTCCCAACTGCGCAATGCCAGAAAGGGCAGTACCTTTTATCGAATTCCTTTTTGATGTATGCAGCTACGTCTCTTTCAAGAGTGTACAAATACATGGCTTGCATGGCTAAACTAATCGCATCTTTTTGCATAGCGTCACACATATCAGCACTTTTTACACAGGCTTGAGGGCAGCATGGAGGTGGTAAGCATGGCGGGATACAGCACGGTTGTGGGCCTCTGCAAGCTCCGGAGGCCATTTTGTAGCACTAAAATTTAACTATTTTATAAAAACTTGTCTAAATGATGTGTGGAATGATATTGACAACTGTCATTATGAGTTATAATAATATACTTGATATCTAAGGTAGCATGTTAGGGTATTAAATTTTTCTCTGTATTATTAGGAGCATTGTTTATGCCGTTTTTAGTAGTTATTAAAAGTAAAGATTTCAGGAAAGTAGGTACAATTATTTTTATTTAAAAATTAAAACATTATTTAGATAATCGTAAGTATTTGTATCTTTAACGTCAACAGTGGCGGCTCGTCACCAAAATGTTGAGGGTTCACAATGGCAATATAGATCTCAGTACAGATTTAGGGAAAAAACTTTCAGTGTTTATAATTATAACTTTTTAAAACACTGAGAGTCTTTTACCTAAATTTGTACCCCCAATATTTTGTTTAAAAGCCGCTACTGAACGTCAACTATATTGCGCGTATTTTATAGATTATAATTCAAATTGTTCCATAAAAACGAAAAAAGGTACCTTAACTGATTATGGACATTTTTCTGCTATTCTTTTTTGGGACAACATTGAATTACAAGTCACTTTTACCAAACACATTTTTGGCATAGATTGCAATATTATTAAAAAAATCTCATTCATCAACAGTAATTTTAATATATTTCAAAATAGTTCTAATTGAAATTATATACAATTAATTAAGTATTTTTAAAATTGTTTCCAAATTAGTAATAATAATAATTAAGAATATAAATTATCTGTGGTTTGTTATGATGACTTTTTCGATTTCTTGTGGTTATACAAAAATAAAATACAATAACTGTATATTTTGCATTATTGATGATAACAATATGCTTCTATCTTCAAAATAGTTGATAATTGACTGAAATGTTACTATATACATAATTTGTGATTTTATTAAATATGTTGCTAGACATGTTATGCGATAGGTATTCTATAAGTGCCATTACAATATTTTAAAAAGGACAATTAATGTTATACGTATCATGGACTAATAGCGTGTTAAATTTTCTGACGTCAAAATACTTATTATTATTGTTTTATAATTATGCTGCCAAATTTAAAAGATTTATATTTTGCATGTTTGTCAACAATCAATTTCCAATTTCACATGCAAAAACAAAAATATCTTGCTTTTGTAATTCGGCTGAATTTTAATATTGGTGCTATCGCCTGTCGGCTGTAGTTAGAGGCCTCTAAACATTTCTAGCATGAGTGTAACTATGTACTCGTTTCGAACACAAGTATTCAATATTATAGTCTATCCAGGCATTTCTATTGTCCTAAAATGACTGGATTCAAACTGACTAGTAATTTTGTATTAAACTTTATAATGTGGATAATCTGTGTAAATTTGTCTACTTGGCTAGTACCATAAAAACTACAATAAATTATTTCACTATAATAAAACTACGTTAAAAAATAGGCATGCTAAAATTTCAATTTATTTCAGCGCATAAACAAAATGTGGTTCGAGTTCGGCTCGAAGGCTGTACCCTAACATAAAATGTTTAAAATAAATCATTCACACAATATTTATCTTAATAATTCAAATAAGAAGTAATTCATTTGAAATTTTATGGAAATCATCACGTTTTCTTGTAATTTTGTAGCTCGTCTTTCAAAAAATCAAACTACCGATATTTTAAAAACATGTCCATGATAACTACGCATGGCTATGAATTAAAACCAAACTGACATTTAAAAAGAAAAAGAATTGTATTAGTGTTACGAGTTAATTGAGAGGGGCTTCCGATTCGGAATAAACCACGAAATATCTAGTGTAAAAGTGACCATCCGACTTTAATTAAAATACTAAATTCAACCAAATATTCTGTGCCAAGAATACAGAAGAATATTTAAACCAAATATCAAGTGCTGTGGAAGAGTGAGGACAGAAGTCCGACGCACGAGGGTGCAGCTTTTCCACATAACAAAATTTGAGAATAAATAGTGCTGGGTAAATAATTCAAAAGAGTTGAGCCCATATAAAGTTAAAGAAGAATAAGAGTTAATTGAGAATAAAAGAAAGGACTAAACGACACTAAAAAGTACAAAAACAGTACCTATAGTTTATTACAACTTTCTTACTAAATATAACCAAGAGAAACTTCAGAAGATTCAAAATTCTTGTATAAGATGTACTTAATATTCCTTATAGAAATTATATTTCTCCGTTCATTCGCACTCGCAGGTTAAATAAATATAAAATTCAGGAAAGGGTAAAATATCTATTTTAATTTTTTTTTTAATTTTAATGTTTAAAATTCCACAATATCTTACTAAAAAGATCAACTTTACACAATGTTAATTTAAGAGTCAACACTTTTACAACTCAAATGCATAGAACTTCAAAATTCCAGGGTTGTTTTAGATACGTAGCACCATTATTATTGAATTCAGAACTTAATAATTTGAATTTTAATCATTTTGTTAAGACTATTAGGCAAGTTCTTATTTCAAGACAATGATTTAATTTAAAATAATTATTTTGTGAACATTTTTTTCTGTTATAATGAGGATCAATTGAAAAACGGCTTAGCCGAATTCATTCCTTTTGAGACACTAATGCTCAATAAACATTATTTATTTAAATATAGTGATGTTCATTGTTCAGTATGTTAAGCCGACGCATCAGGCAAAATAAAGATGAGACGCTTAATTGCATTTGGATGTGAGAGCAATAAAGATAGTAATTTATTTGACCACACCCTTTCGATGGCAAGCATGGGTTATTGCGGTACACACTCATTCATATTATTCTATTTCTCTCTATTCAATGGCATTGTGTTCTATACCATTTTCCTGGAGCCAGGATGGAAAAGTTAAATTACTGTATGTTAAAAAATAATTATACAGACAATGTAATTAAGTGGCTAGATATTTCAGATAACATTGTTTATATTGCAAAAAAATTGGTAAAATGTTCTACTGGCCAGGATTCACTTTCTAGCGCAACAGCTAATGAAAATTATTGAAAATAATTTTTTTAGGAAAAAATGGAGCAATTTAACAGTTTCGGCTGTAAGTACTAGTGTAAAACTGTCGAATTATATTTAAAAAATGTATTTTTAATCACATAATCAATTACCTGCTAAAAAATGTTCATTCTCAATTAGTTTAAAATAAAAATTTGTTTCGAGAAATCAATAATCATAATTATGAGTATCTAACCTTGGAGAAAAATAACATATCAATATTAATAAAAACCTTAAAGATCATATTGTTCAAACACCAATGAAAATTTAAAAAAGTAAATTTGTATTTTTTGTTCCTTATTAACTTTTATTAAATAGTTTTTTTTTATTTATAATTTATAAGTGACGTTTTCTAATGTAATATATATGTTTTAAATTTAATAACATAATGTTAACATATATTTATTGTAGTATTATATTAAATGCGATTAAACATATGGGTGTTCTCCAACTAGAAATATGTTCAATAATGGATGTAATAAAAATCACTAATTCACAAACTTTAGTCTATACCAAACAGAGTAAAAATGAATCATTTTTTGTATACGTTTTTAGTACTAAATGAGTACTAAACACTTGATAAAATACTAACATACGTTTAATTAAAGGTACCATTTCGGTAGGCGCGTCAGGAGACAGGAGACCACCGAGGCGACCCAATGGACGACGGATGCATAAAAGTTACGCTCCGTACATTTCGGAAGCTTGGAGACGGGTCGCGAGACACTTACAGGATATCCATTTGAGGGAACGATCAGCGTTGCCAGACCTAGTGTTTTTACGTAGATCCACTGTTTTTGTCTCTAGCAAATGTTGTTCTTAATTTATTAAGTTTGCTTCATTCTTCAGCAAATGGTTAAAGAATATTTTCTCTTGTAAATTTTCTGCAGTAAAAGCAGCGTAATAAGGCATCCACTACTGTAGGTTGGCTCCATAAAAAAATCATCAAGATAATCATTGTTTTTATTTAAAATGTAACAAAGAATTAATAGGGCAACATAAAAAGAACATGCATATGCCAAACACTACGATTTTGAATTACCTGATTTAGACTGATCTAAAAGAAGCAGGTACCTATTATTTTTCATTGTTTTTTTTTTTGTTTCCGTACGTTAAGTATATATTAAAAATGTTATTATTTGTTTTTATTCTTTGGTTACCTTCTAATTTGGGTCGAAAAAAGTTTATTTTTCGTTTCTTTTTTATTTACTACACTGCAAATTTTAATTATTTCCCCCTGTATTAAAATCTACTGTTCAGATCTACGGTTTTTTTTTCACCCATACTGTTCCAAAATCTGGCAACACTACCTAGATCGAAAGAAATTTACAACCTAATCACCTCCAAAATGAAGCGATGCTCGAGGACGTGACCTCGAGTGCGACATGCAGCAAACCTTTGCCCCGAGACAGATTCAAAAGTGTCGTCAGGAAGTGTCGTCTTGACGAGACTTCTCGTGTCGCGCCGTGCGAAATGTGTTTCATATAATTGTATATATTTTAGATGTGAAGCGACACTTCTCGGTCGCGTCGGCGGTCGTCTGTCGCGCCTACCGAAATGGTACATTAAGAGTGGTCGAACAATTTTATACGGTAACACAGTTGCGGATTCTATCTGGAAAAAATAATCAGTCTAAATATTTTAAACTGCAGGAAAATTTAGTCAAACTTTATTTATTATTGTTATGATGTTACCAGTATGCAAATTGTAATTATTTAAAAATGTTTACATTCAAATTTCAATATAATTAAAATTATTCAGTTTAGTTCAATGTATTTAATCTAGTTATGAATATATGGTATATTCAGTATTTATAGAGTATGTAAAGTGTCAAAATTACCACAGAATAAACAATTCTATTTTAGATATCGATTATGAATGTACCAAATACAGATTTAATTCGCTCTCATAACAAATGGTAAACTTTGTTGTTAATAACAATGTTAGTGTATACACATTTTAGTGCGCATTGTAATTTTTAGTGACGTCGAAATAACATTATGGTTTACAAAACAAACCTCTATTAAATGTTCATACATTCATTTTATAATATATCTATATAGTTAGGTTGCTTATGTTTTTCATAGTTAATCGCGCCTCATTATTTTGTTTTTAAGTAAATTATATCTAAATTTATCTACTTTCCTACTTATAATAATTACCTATTAAAAGAAATTCA